AAAAAAAGATTTGTTCATTTTGATGAACGAGTTTGAACAGGAGAGTCATGCACATCACAGAACAGAGCAAGGCAAGCATTTGAGCTTATAAAATTTAAACTTTGTTATTTTTTTTTTTAAAATGACTGATCGTTTCACTTAACGTTTCACACATAAGATATTCATCGTCTGGAATCGCTTAAAGCCCTTTCAACAGTTTGCAGTTTGCAGTTTGCACTGAAACTGTCTTTTGGACCTTGAACATTTGGTGGCCAGTAAAGTGCATTATATGGAGAAAAATCCTGGAATGTTTTCATCAAAAACCTTAGTTAATTTTCCACTGAAGAAAGAATGCCATGGATATCTTGGATGACATGGGGGTGAGTAAATTATCATCAAAAGTTTTTTTTTTTTTTTTGAAGTGAACTACTCCTTTAATGCAATAAAAGTTGAAATCCATCAATTTAATATTTTATACACATCAAGAACCCAAAGAAAAGTGCATAGCAACCTAAAATTGTAAAACTTAAATTTTATCATCAGATGAACTGTTTCTTTCATACATATTTAATATACTATCAGTCTTGATGAGGTTAAGAATGTGATTTGTTGCCCGGAGCAGCACATGTTTTTGTCCTCGTTTGCATAAGAGCGAAATCCTTCAACGCGTTTGATGCCAGGTGCATGCATACCAATCGCATTTGCACATTTTATTACCATATTCTTTTGTTTGGCTCAATTGCTTCTGCTGTAATTGATTTGCATCAGATTCAATATGCATCATGTGGTCTAAGAACTAAAGTAAATCTATTAACAAACAGCGATGTAAAGGAGAATTCATGACAGCGGAGCGACTCTGATGCTCCGCCTCGTGGGTCGTGTAGTTTGCTTGGTAACATGTATATGAGAGAAAGCTATAGCGAGCTTTAGCAGGTCTTTATTAAATAATCCATAAATACCTCCTCTAGAGCGCGTAAACAGCAGGACTTGTTCTTCTCCGAGCCGCAGGAGTTAAAAAGATTGGCCCAGTGCCTAGCAACCAATGACTGCCTTAACAGCTTCACATGTGTGAGTTCTTCACATCACTGCTGGAGCCGGCCCTTTGTGTAAAATCATCCAAGAAGTGCTGAACATCTGACATGGGTCTTTCAAACACACATCTCACTTGTAGTGCTGCTTTGTTTACTTGTCACCGTCTTTTGTGAAAGTCTTCATTTCTAACTGAATGGAGTAGATGATGTTCTTCAATATACTGTGTATATATATATATATATATATATATATTCATTTCTAACTGAATGGAGTAGATGATGTTCTTCAATATACTGTATATATATATATATATATATATATGTTTTTTTTTTTTTTTTTCTCAGAGTTTGTTCTAAAACATTTAACGCTAAGGGTGTATTCACACCTGCCTTGTTTGGTTCGATTGAATCGAACTCTAGTTCGTTTGCCCCCTTGGTGCGGACCTTTTGGGCAGGTGTGAATACAGCAATCGAACTCGGGTGCGGACCAAACAACCGAACCGAGACCCAGCTGAAGAGGTGGTCTCGGTACGGTTCCAAACGAACTCTGGTACGGTTCGTTTACGGTGTGAACATGAACCGACCCAATTGCAAGAAAGCACTGCGTCGAAAGAGAATATTGCGTGTCTTTCTGCACGTCTTTCTGCGCGTCGTCTGTGAATGTCTAATCGCGCAAAGATGCAAAAAAAAAAATCATTTGCAGTTCATAAAGCATTTGCAGTTCACCACCTTTTGGTGGTGGTTGACGAGTTTCCCCCTTAAAGCGAGTGCCGAGAAAAATTCTTTATGTAATGAATTATTATTATTATTAATGTAAGGATAGTTACAATACAAGGATGATGATGCGTTAATTTACGTTAAACTGGACAAACTTAATCGCAAGCGTTAACATTGACAGCACTTGTTAGGACACAATAAGAATCTCATTATTTGAATGAACATAGCCCCTCTCTATGAATGAAAACTTTATACCTTCTCCGTCTTCTGTGCAGTGCCACATGTAACGCAAAGTTGAGATGTTGCCCAGAGATAAAAAAAAACAGAAGGTGGTCGAATGAAAAGATGCACGAGAGACGAGAGTTGTCGTATTTCCCCGCGTTTATAGAGCCACTCAAACGTTACACTCGTCGTCTTCTCAAAATCCGAATTACAACTTCGTATAGATGACATTGTATCATATGATACTCATTAGTTTCTTCATATTGCGTTTGTACAGAATTAACACAAAATTAGTAAAAGAACAAATATTGCAGTATGAAATATATGGAAATATCTCCATGCTGAGCCTTTTTTGCACTTCCTGATTTCCCTTGAGAATCCTTGTCCAATGAATGGACGACCTTAGCACACGTGTGGTTTGGTTTACAAATTTTGGTTCACTTGCAAAAAGAGCAGTGTGAAAGCGAACCGTACCAAAAAAATAATAATAATAATAATTTATTTGGTCCGGACCAAAGCAAGTGAACTATCGGACTTTCCTGGTGTGAATACACCCTAAGTGTTACAATTATCTGGTTGATTGTGCCTGAACCGCTGAGACATTGTTTTGTTATGGTTACGTTTCAGTTATGGTTATGTATGCTTTAGATTACTGCTTTGTTGTAAACCTTTTTCCCTTTTAGTAAATTTAAGGCAAGACACTTTTTTTTTTTCTTGCACTGGTCAAATTTGAGATTTTGGCCTATTTGGCTTTTTATAACATATTGTTTCAGACTAGTAGAAAGAGATCATTTAAAATACACTTTATGGGTATATTGTATATATTTGCATCTGTAGATTTCAATTACAATACATATATTTAAAGTCAGAAATATCCACTTTAGCAGCACTCACATACACCAAATCAATTAATTTCACATTCCCTGATTTGCTTTTTTTGTGAATTTAGAAATATATATTAAATCCCATGTGTAAAATCATTTTACCCTAACATGTCAAAAAATAAAATGAGAATTTTAAACCTATAGCTTTCTCCAGTGTTTAAATTAATTAAATAATGCCAACTTTGCATATTTTAACATAACATTTCAGAAAACTTGTAATACAAATCATGTTTGCAGTTCTTAAATGGATAGTAAAAATGGTCATCATTTACTCACCCTCATGTTGTTCTAAACCTGTACAATTTTCTTTATTTTGCTGAACAGGAAGATATTTTGAATAATGTTGGTAACCAGGCAGTTGACGGTAGCAATTGACTTACATATGCATATTTTTTCTACTATGGAATTCAATGGCTACCGTCAATTGTTTGATTACCAACATTCTTTAAAATGTATTAATTTGTGTTCAGCAGAAGACAACTTAGTGAGTAAGTGATGACATTTTTTTTTTTTTTTTGGGTGAACTAACCCTTTAATGTAACCAATCAACAACAAATGTATGTTGATACACTACTGGTGTATGTTGCCGTAATATTTAAGTTTGACTCATGTCAACGTTATATTTCCATAATTGTGATTAGTCTTTGCATTTCTTGGACAGTTTATAGCTGTCTGTGCACTACACAGTGACTACAGTGATTCTTATGCACAGACAGCAGAAAGTCTAATTTAATATGCAGAGAAATAAAACCTACTAACTAACACTAGTTGTGTTGGAAAAGAAGGCTTAAAAACAGGCGTCAAAACTTGCGTCATTCGAGTCGGGCTTTATACCCCATCCCCCATCCAACAGCCTTTAATGAAAGCAGGTTTTAAAATGTTATTTAATTTTATTTAGCATTTTTATGAGACGAGCCCTTCTCTCAATCACATTTAACTGTTTATTGTTACATTAGCGGTCCTGCTTACAGTCTGGGTTTTGGACTACAGTTAATAAATGTGAGCGATTTCCATAAAATATTCAAAGAAGCCCATTATTGCTACGGCGGCTCATCTCTGCTGCTAAACTTCAATCAGTTTTGCATTTGAAACGCATTAAATGCCTGGGTGAAACGCTATCATCTGCACAGCAATATTTTTATAGCCGCTATTGGGGAAAGCGTGAACTTATATGAGGTGCATTAATTCTGCTGTTTAATTATTTAGAGTATATTGATTTCACACTATGTTTGGATTTATTGCTCATTAAGTATTTAAAACACTTGTAATTTTCTTGTTTACTAGAGAGTACAATGGTATGACTGTAAATCTTGCAAAAAAATAATTACACCGAACCATTGGAAGCTAATGGTCATTTTAAAATCGACTCTATAATTAATTAATGAGAGATTTTAATAAGAGTGGGACGTAGGTCTATTTCTGTACACGCTTGTTGGAGTTCTCAGGCTAAATCTATCCTATCTGAGTCCCATTTTAACCATCTGTAATGTTGATCATTTTGGTCACCATTGATTTTACCAATAAAATCACAAATTTTCATAAATGAATATTACAGTACTTCTACTGAATTTCTTTATTTCATTTTTGGCCATTTACTAATTTTATTGAAACAGTTAAAAATATTAAAACTTTAAGACATGAAAGATATTTTCCATATTTTTAAAAAGTTTGTATTGTAGCATCAAATTAGGAGGTAACCCTTTAGAATAAGGTGTCATTTGATAACATAGTTAATGTTTAAACTAAAATTAACTAACGATGAACAATACATTTGTTACAGTATTTATTCATCATTGTTAACATTAGTTAATACAAATATAACTGTTCATTGTTTGTTCATGTTGGTTCACAGTGCATTAACAAATGTTAAAACATACAAATATTGATTTTAATAATGTATTAGTAAATATTGATATTAACATTAACTAAGATTAATAAATTCTGTAGAAGAATTGTTCTTTCTCAGTTAGTTCAATTTCACTAATGCAATTAACTAATTTTAACCTTATTGTAAAGTGTTACCAGTTAGGATTTAGATACATGACCAGATGTTTGCCAATAAGGCAAAATAGTTGTAACTATTGACCTGCAGCAGTTACTTTGTAGTTTTAATCCTGACCAATGGATGGCGCTGCTGTTTTATGCTGTTATGTTTGTGTTTGTGCAGATGACGGAGAGGACAGAAGTGCAGAGAATGACACGTCTTCACCGGTCAAGCAGGTGAGATGCTCTAACCTCAACATGATCTCTAATACTCTTACTAGACAGGCATTAACACATATGGTTCACTTCATTTCATAACAGAGTTACTCAGAAAGCTTTTCAGCCTTTGCAAGAAAAAAAATAAAAAAAAATATATATATATATATATATATATATATATATATATATATATATATATATATAACCCTACCCTTAAACCTACCCATTACAGAAAATGGTCTTCATTTTTAGATTTTTAAAACATTTGGTACATTTAGTAGTAGTTTGTTTGATTTATAAGTTGTTTTCCTCACTGGGACCAAAAAAATGTCCCCATAAGGTCAAAAATTACCTATATTACTGTCATTTGGGGGACACATTCCATAGACATAGATTTTTATACTGCACAAACTGTATACTGTATTATATTCCAACACTAACCCAACCCCTAAACCTGCCCATCACACAAACATCTTTTTGCATTTTATATTTTCAAAAAACATCACTTAGTATGATTTATAAGTTTTTTTTCCTCATAAGGACTAAAAAATGTCCTCACAAGGAAAAGGATTTCGGATATTGCCATCTTTTTGAGGACATTTTGTAGGCAATTACCAGGCCACACACACACACACACACACACACACTCATATATAATGTTGTTTAATTAAGGAGGCAGCAGAGGCCAGTCCAGAAATAGACGACTCATCCAAAACAGAGAGTGAACCAGCCCAAAACACAGAAGAATCACCATGTGACGGAGAAGAAGAGACGAAAGAAGAGGATGAAAAAAAAGAAGAGGAAGAAGAGAAAGAAGAGGACGAAAAGAAAGAAAAGGAAGAAGAGAAAGAGGAGGATGAAAAAAAAGAAAATGAAGAGGAAGAAGAGCAGGGAGAGATAAAGGATATGGGACTGACATCAGAACCAGAGGCAAATGAAACCAGCGAAGAGAAGAAGGACGGAGAGTCTGATAGAGAGGAGGAAGAAGAGAAACAAATTGAAGGAACAGAAGAGGAAAACCAAGAGAAAACAGAGGATAAGGGAGATCTAGTAGAAAAGACCGAAGAGAATCCAGATCCCAGTGAAGAACAGTCGCAAAACACTGAACGAGAGGATTAGAAAACTTAAAGCAGTTCACAGAGAAATTATCATTATGTTATCATCTACTCACCCTCAAGCCTGACTTTTATGGAGAATATAAAAGGATATATATATATATATAAATATATATAATGAGAGTAAGATTAATCAATGAATAATTGCTTAAATATCTCCTCGTTCACATTGTTGGAAAAGTGAGATCAGCACATTCTTCAAAATATCTATAATGTATATAATAAAATCAGCACATTCTTCAAAATATCTATAATGTATATACATAATATCTATAATAAAACACTATAATGTTCTAAAAAAAACAGAAAGTCATACAGGTTTGAATTGGCTGGTGAATAAATGATGACAGAATGATAACTGTGAATTATTCCTTTTAGAGTAATGATTAATGCTTTGATTACAACTAACTTATTCATATTATATTATTCATATTGTATTGAGATTGCAATAATGCGAATTGATTTAATAACAGCTAACTTAAAAATATCTATTATCTATATCTATCTATTCTCCATATAACATCATTCCTCTGCAAATACAGTATCTGCTAAGCTAGGTGTAATGTTTGCTAAATATATTTATTTTAGACATATGTTTTGTAAAACAAAGATAAATATATAGATTTATGTTTCATGCCTCATGTTTCAGCATCTCCTCTATTGCTTATGACATATGTATTATGTCAAGTTATTTGTCATCATTGTGGTTATTATACTATCATTCTAACCGGTTTAACTGAGTTGATTAACATCAGTCCTGAACGATAAGCTACAGTATATGCATACTAAAATACATATCCATGTCAATACAATACATGTCTGGATATCCCATTCATTCAGTGTGTCTCTTTTGTCATCAGAGAGTTTGTACTGTGTTGGTGTGAGGGTGTGTTTGTGTACAGTCAGTTTATTACACTGATGGTTAATGAAATACAAGTCACTTGATTTTGTCCATGGGGAATTGACTGATGGTTGTGGTTTGCTATTGGTCGATCTCGTGCGATTGACAGGTTGCCCCGCCTTAATGCTTTAATGACCTGACTGCAATTTATTTTAATTTGAGTCTGCTCCTCTCACAAAGCCTCGTATGATTTCAGCAGTCATATCGACTAACGGCGAGAACTATCTCCAAAATTAGTTTTACTATAGAAAAAAAAATCTGTTTTTCTTTTATTAGGTGAACTTTTACTCTCATTTTATCTAAATAGACTCCTTTTGACTATTCAAATTATGTTATATATGCTATGTATTTGTTATTATTATTCTTTTGGGTTATAATTGGGTTATAAACCAGAGGAATTAGAGAGGTTTTTGCCATCTAAAAAAGATGAATAAAAGGTCATCCTATAATAGACATATCCATCGTTTGCAAGCTGTCGGGTTATGGTCGGGTTAAAGTGCAGGTGCAATGTGTAATTTTTCTGAGGATCTATTGACAGAAATGCAATATAAGATCCATAACTATGTTCAGTGGTGTATAAAGACATTACTCAATGAACCATTGTGTTTTTAGAATGAGACATTTATATCTACATAACCGCGGGCACCCCCTTCTATGAAGGTCGACATAATGTGACGTCATGTTTCTACCATAGCCGACAGCGAACAAACAGCGCTACAGAACGCATTTCATTCATACAGTACCTTGATAGAGAAGCTGCAGAAAGTTAGAAGCTTGCCATAGACACTTTAAGTAGTGATCGTAGTTGACAAGTTGATCTTGGAAGCATTTTAAGTTGATCGCGAAGAGTTTTCAAAACCAGAGGGGAAAAAAAAAAAATATTCATTATTATTTATTAATTTGAGTGTATTAAATTGTGTCTAGGGGATGTGGAGGCGTGCATGCTGTTACAGTCACGGCACCTTTGCGCTCGTGCGGACGCGTCGAGTATAAACAAGGCTTCACGCTTTAACCAGCTCAGCCACAGCCCTACAGCATAACAGCTCATATTAGCCAGCTAAACTTTTACTACCCTGTTGTAAATATGTAATTGGATAGTTTCATGTGGTTCTTCTCCCTGGCTGTATCATGGGTTAGCTATTTGAGGAAAAATGTGCTGGTTATGTTCGTGAGACAATCAGCTGATTATTATATTATATATTAAGACCCTTGATCATCACCTGACTATAGCTTTGTAAACTTTATCTATGATGTGGTTTATAATGGACAGTGGTAGAGAAACTTAGCTCACTCTGGCTATTCTCTGCTGTCTTAGCCGACGAGATGTTTGTCCCGTTTTAGCCACCGTAGCTTTTTCGAAAGGGAGGGGTGAGCAGTGGGCTGAGACCTTAATACAACTCACAACCGAACTGCTAGATGCTGCTAAAATCTACACACTGCACCTTTAAAGGGGTGATGAACTGAGAAATCAAATTTTCCTTGAGCTTGACATCTAAGAGGTCATCATATTATAAGAATATCCTGTAAGTTTCAGAACTGAAAACGTCCTTGTTAGTCCAATAAAAGCTTTTATTGACACAGCCTCTAAAAACGACTCATTTTTAAAAGTGGGGAACTATGACGACAAAGAGGATAAAACACCACCCCCACAGAAGATGATCAACGCCTGCTTCACCACGGCAGGTTTAGCCCCGCCCACCGATTCGCGCATTACACACATAAGTATCATACATGTACATGCTTACCTCGTGATGACAAACTGGATCGCTACGGAGCAAAACAGAATATTGTGCAGTGCCTGTTGTGCAAGACAGTCGCTGCAGCTTCCTGTGGATTCCAATAGGACTGCATGGATAAAATTTATTTTTAATGACGTTCCAGCTGATGAGGTAAAACATCGTCGTCTGTTCGCTTCATTTCACTGAGGATTGTTTTGTCAACAAGACTGGATTTGCAGACCGATTAAGAGTAAATAACGGTGCTGTGCCGTCTTTGGATCTGACAGGAATATTGTGCAACACACGGACTCTGGGTTGAACATGTATGGGCGAATCCGGTTGCCATTTGACAACATAGGACGTTTTCCCCCACATACACCGACGGGTGAGTGAAACTCATTATAATATGCAAAACTGTTCTCCACTCGCAGCAGTGGGTGTTTACTTCCAAGTCTTCAGTGCGACACGCCCATAAAAACCGACTGTTTTTTAGGTAGGCTCACAACCAGGGTACAAAATAGCCTATTACTTGTTCATTTTGATGTTTTTGAATGCAAAAACCGAGCGAACGTTATAAGTTGACCTCAGACAACAATATAATAACATTTAAAAAGCCAGTTCATGACCCCTTTAAGGTCACTATTCAGGTTTCTGAAACATTCAGAATAACCCCTTTACATGTGTGAGCAGAGAGAGTTACTTCAGTATACATGGAATTTGTAATCAATTGGCAATATCCAGATGTAAACGGCGGCGCACGGTTAGCGTCTGGACGTACGGACAACCTTAAGACACAATATGCGTAATTTCTGATTCTTCTTCCTGTATCCAAAGACAACAACAACAGCAGCAGCACACAGATAATGAATAGTTTGGGGCAGATAGTGATCGCCTTTGCACTGGTGCTGGTACTTGAGTACTGGTCCCAAATGATGGTGCTGCATCTCGCCATGTTTACGTTTATTTCATTTTCTTTCGGCATACTGCACGCGGGTTTTTGTATGTGCCAGACGGCGGTTTTTTGCCGGTCGATGGCCGTACGCGACCAGGTTATTACTAATATTCTGGTTTTTCAACTGGTTATTTGCTGCTTGTAAACGTAGTCAGTGTTAAACAAACTGCTCTGGTGGACTTTTATATTGACTTTTGACCACGGCTATATCATAACAATCTCAACAAATGCGATACCTTCCACAGACACACACATACAGCTGACAAGAATTCTTGTAGATGCTGCTAGATTTATGCTGCTTAGGTGAACAGTGTGAGTGAGTCATCCCTTCATCTAGAGACAGCAGCAGATCTTTAGCATGACTCACTGAAATCAACATCCATTTCTAGCCCACTGACTCACTCGCACACCAGAAAACAGTGAGACATCACTCACTTTAACATAGTTCATACTATGATAGCTTGTTTCCATCACGTAATAAATAACTTTTTATCTCACAATTGCAGGATATAAACTAATAATTGTGACTTTATATCTCACAATCCATGACTTTGTTCCTCAGAATAGAGAATGTTAAGATACGTCATTCTGCTTGCTGGGATAGTTGCGCCATCTTTATTTTTCTAGCTCAACTTTCACAGAATGGAAAGCACAGGATTGTGGGATATCAAAGGCAGCGATGGATACATCTATGCTGCCTTAAAAAATCGATCAGATGGAGGTATTTCAGGAGACAGTGCCTTGATGCATTCCCACCTTGGAATGCATCCTCCAAAGGCAGCATTTATCAGTTTTGGGATGCAGCCAATGATTCTTTTGAATAGGCTTTTCTGAGATGAGCAAAATCTGCGCAGAACCAATCACGTGAACACCGAAAGATGCACGCAGGTTAGAAAAGTGGGCTGTGTTCGAAAACTGAAAAATGCTCCCTCCGCAGGCGGATACGGAGGTAGGAAGGTAACAAGACAAGTCCAAATCCAATGATCCTGCCACATCCTGTCCCCCGAGATACCTTCATTTGATTGATTTTTGAAGGCAGCATAGACTCCTTTGCTGCCTTTGATATCCCACAATGCTGTGCTTTCCATTCCCTGACTGTTGAGCTGAAAAAATTAAGATGGCATCTGAAATTTGAAGTTTGTGGTCAGTTTGTAAGATGTACATTTTTTTTACCAACTTGTCCCACCTTTGATGTAATTTCTAGCGAGAAGTTAGTATTGTAGTAATTAAATATTCAATTTGTTGTCACCAAAGCCCTCTCTGTTTTGTTCTCGATCATTAAATTGTTACGCTGCCTCAGAAGTTTCGTGAAGTGTCGTCATGCACAAATACTGCCTGCTTAGTCATTGCCTGACATGGCAGCGAGGCATCAAGCTGCCAGGTTTTCGGATGCAGCCGTGATCGGACTTGCTCTAACCGTCATCTTTAGAATATTGTCTTTGAACTTCCGGTTCTGTATATTTCTATGGCATCGCTGTCAAGGAGTAATTAGCTGCTGAAGTGGATTTACTTATTGTAGAGTTAACAACAGTTATCATGAGCATTGTAATGTTTATCATAAGCATTGTAAAGCAGATGTCTTAACAAATGTCGAACGGGATTTTTTTTACAAGCAGTTCATTCATACCTATGCAAGATCGCTGTGGAAATACAGACCGGAAGTCAAAAGACAACGAGCGCAACGCTGAAAAGGGGCGGGGCTATAAGGTCTATATCAAATAACTTCCTCCAGCGAGGCGGCCGTGTCGGATAGCGCAGTTCTCCCTGGTCTGAACTGATCAGAAGCACAACAGGAAACAAACTTGCTGAGGCACAATATTTAAGATTCCATAAAAATATCCAAATACCACTAGCACAGTGTTACATAGTTTATTGACTTGTGTACTTACATTATCCCAAATGTTTCTAACAATGTTTAAATCCAGAGAAATGTGCTATTTTAACCACAGTAACATCCTTCTTCATTGTGTCGCTTGTCAGTGACATATCCGTGTTTCCCTCGATTTTTTACTTTTGCAGAAACCATGAAAACATCACATAACATCACATTAAAATGTTGTTTTATTAGAAAGGTGAGCATTTTTTTAGATACCTCATCGACAAATAAGCATTGTTATATAGCTCGACACAGTTAGTCTTACTGTTTGAATCTCTTGTTTTCTTGATTTACTGTCAGTAATATTTGTGTACCATTGGGGACAATATTATTCCTGTCAAGTGGCTAACATAGATTAACCAGAA